GATATTTCGATATGTTAAATACTTTTTTTTATTAACATTTCTTGACAAAATTTTTTGGCCGAAAATGACTTTTTCTTCAAATGCTCGCAATTTTTATAAAAATCTATATTTTAAAATATCCGTATGTACTTCTGTAGTACATATTATATAGTTTTTAAAAAATTTGGTTTATTGCTTCAGGTTCAATCGAATGCCAGATCCCCGCAACGCCGATTTGACAGTGGCTACAAAAACGATGTTTAATAAAATGGCTTCAGCGTCATCATTTTATTAAAAAAATAAATGAAAAAAATATTTTTTATTTTTAAAGACATGTATTATTAAAGCCTTAAAACAAATTTTGTATTACTTTTATTGTTTTCCTAAAAAAAATTCCCAAAGTTACCTATGATTTTTAGGCGCTCAAGGTGGTGTAACCCCTTAAATGTGATAACACGTGATATGAAATTAGTTAGAAATGCGCGCATGAGTATTTGTGTCGAAGTACATGAATTGTGGAAGCGAGAGAGTGACATCATCTGCATTGTCAAGTTATTGGACTTTTAATCTTTGTTAGCAATAAAGTAGTATTACATATGTATATAGCTTTTTACGATGAAAATCGCAACTATACAAGATTTCCCACTCCTCGTCCAGGACGGAGATGATAAAACCCGTTTCTTGACCTAAAATTTCCAGTCTCAGCGTCGGAATATCTCCGCTCGTAGAGCATGCAAAGGAAAAATAAAAACATTTCTATTATGCAATTCAAATCTAAGTAATTGTTGAGTTTATACTTAAAAGTTGATCAGTTCAGCCGTTATTGAAATAATTTTTGGTAATCTCGAGCGCTTGCAACTCGTCGGCTCTCGTATAGATACACGGTATGATCTCTCGTATACTCTTTAGCGCCCAGTCCCGACCGTAGCTCTTAATATAAAAAAAAACTCATAATTAAACGTTATTATCAGAGTTATTCCATTGAGCCAACAGATAATCATAAAAGCGAACGAGTCATATTCTAATGTGTCTCTTTTACTTATTAAATACATTTAAATTATTTAGAATATCAGAAATTTTGTTTTAAATCAAGTAATCTATGTATATAACACACGTATAACATATTTAGAGATTTGTGTGATTCAAAAACTAAAGCAGAGCAAAAAAATCAAAGAAAACATAGTTAAACTGGTTAATTATTTGAGCAACAAACGATGTTGGTTACTATATTACTGTTATTCATCTTCATTATATTGGTATGGAATTATTATTCACATTATGGAAGAAACGGGCGTCTTATCAATCTTATACCAGGACCACCAGGTCTTCCGATTCTTGAAAATGCATTGGAATTTCTTGGTTCACAAGGCAAGTTAAAATTTGTTGTATATTAACATAAATTTGTCTTCGCACATATATATGTGCAAAAAAGATATTTTTTTTGGACACAATTATTAACATTATAACATTATAATTACATTTAAAAATTATTTAAGTTTATAATATGAGTTCTCTTTCACGCAATAATATTATTTATTGCCCCAAATTACTGAGTTATTTGGAAAATGATAAAATATATTATACATAATGATAAATATGACGATAATTAAACTTTTTAATCAGTATTTATAATATTTCTATAAGTTTACGTAATGCACATATACGTACATTTTTTAGAAGAACTATTCAAAACAGTGTCTACTTTTAATGATCAGTACTATCCCATTTGTAAAGTTTGGTCGTTCTTTCTGTCCGCTGTATATATCCGTCATCCGGATGATCTAGAGGTAATGAAATATGAACGAAATTTCATTCTCTTTTTATTAATATATTAGATAATAATATAATTATTGTAATTAAGATAATTCTTTTATTTTGGAATATATGTTTATTTATAAATAATCAAAGGAAATGAGACATAAAGTTAACAGGAACTACTGTAGATATTGGTGTGTAACCACTAATTCAGAGTAAAAATTTGTATATTTGGTCATATGTAAATATATATTATTATATATAATTATATAATTAATAATATGATTATATAAAAATTTTGTATATTATATCATGTATAATCTGATGTAAAGTAACCTACCAAACTCTTTAAAAAAAAGGAAAGATTACGCCAAGTATATAAAAAAGTATCGTATCTTACATTTTTTCTAAACCAAAAATATTATTTTAACAAATAAAAATTGTCCAAAAACAAATATGAGATCATACAAATTGCTAAATATTTGATTAAACATAGAAACAAAAATATTTTTTTAATAAACCATTTAACCATCCAAAAGTATATGCAGCAAAAATTTAATGCCATTGTCTTTCCAAATATTATTTTTAAGTTTTATAAAACAGGCTTAAAATGACTAAAATGGCCAATGGGGTCATAGTGAAGCAAAAACTTGGCCGAATTGCATTAATAATATAATTGATAAGATGTATATATAAAATACGGGCACGCCAAGGTTTTGCTTCACTATGATCCCATAGGTCATCCTGCTTTATGAAAATTCTATTTATTCATGTCGCCTTGAAACATACGTTCTTTCAAATATATATTGATACATTCTTCCAAATACGTATATTGGTTATTGAGAGAAAGATTTTCACATGTTCTCGATAGTCGAATAGGTAATACGATCACCCGGAGAGTAGAGAGCTCCAGGATCAAATCCCGGATGAGGTATTTTTAATGTATTGACATGACCATATATACAGTTATGCATGATTATATAACGTAATATAAAATCAGATATATTCATATATAATCATATAGAGACAAATTTCGTATATGACCATATATAAGGTAAACTCGGTATATACGCCGCGCGAGGATTTACGCCACAGAAGTAAAAAAAAAATAGAAGTACGTGAAACTAATTTTCTCGCAATCACTCTGTTACTGCCTTTATGTTATATTAGTGTTGTGTTGTGATTTCAGTTTTTTACTTATTTATAAAATTATTGTAAGTTAAATCGATTTATATCACTGTAATAAGTAGCGCAGTCATAAGTTATATAAAAATCCACATAAAATAATTATTGTAAAAAATGTAAAAGGCTTCGTGGTTATTTCATGGTATACATATAAGTGTAAAGGATTAGTAAAGGATATAAAATAGCAAAATACAAGTGCTTAGCTCTTGTATTCTTTGTTTAGTTTATTGTCTCGTATATCCCATCTGTTTGGGATATACGAGACAATAAACAATTGGCATTTCTAACGCGTGGGATTTATGCCGTAGCACAGACGCTCTATTATTTATTTATAAATATAAAAGTAAATAATAATACGCCCTTTACAATACATTAATCATAACATTCATGTATGTATATACTTTATGTATGTACTTATTCATAATTTGTAATAATACGTTCTTTATTTATTTATTATTGAGTAAATGCAAAGTACGTTGACAATTCGTGTTATTCACTATTATTATTTAGATAATTTGTGTATTTTTTGGGTCATTTATCCCACTCATGAATAGCCGTATAACCCACCTCTATTTTTATAAGGTAAAAATGCAAGAGTTTAAAAAAATTTCTTTTTTAATATAAAAAATAAATAATTCGGATTCCTAATATTTTTTTTATAAAAGTAAACAGTATAAAGTTTTTACTGACATAGTTCATTTAACTTAAATTTAATATATATAATATCCGATAAGTTAAATTTTTAATTGGTGCAACGTATATACCGGGTTTACTCTAATGATTCATATATAGTCAGATATAATAGTATATACAAATTTTTACTCGAGATACTTATTAGCAGAATAATATATATAGGTATCGATTATGTTTCCAGCAAACAAAGATTATAATTGCAACGTTCCAACTGTATTGCAGAAATGTTACAATGTTGCTGCAATATTGCAATTATAATTTGTTTGCTGGGTTTTGATGAAAATTTGAATCCTGCTCTGTAGATTTAGAATATAAAGAAAAAGATAAGCGTAAAACCTTCTTAATAAATCTTTTCTTACCGTTTGCGTATAACGTATTTTTATTCCATAGGTATACATCTTGCTTCTTATTTTTATCGTGTTCTACACACGGTATACCATAATATATTGATCATAAATTTTATTTCTAAACAGGTTTGTTGTCAACATGAATTAAAATAAATAGTAGGGTGTGTGGAATAAATGATAAACGCAACAGTAATGAAAACAGATCTATTAAATATATTTTGTTTATTGTTTTTGTATACTAATTGCACTAAAAAGGACTGAAATTGTGATTTAGACATTTGCATTACTTATGTAATATTGGTTAATAAACATTAAAATATTATGCTGACATCTGCGTTAACTCTTATTAAATTTATTTCTTATTTTGTTTGATGCATTCTTGAAAATGTACTAACATTGTAACTTATAATCATAAAAATATAAAGTTATATATAATCATAAAAAAATTAGAAAAGATTAAATATTTGAAATATTTTTTAAATTAATCAATTATTTGCGTTGCATTTGAGATAAAAATGTTTAACTCAATACTTTCTGTAATTTGAAATTTCAGGTAATACTAAGCAGCTCGCAGCACATCGAAAAGGGTTGGATTTATAATTTTATAAAACCTTGGCTTGGTATTGGTCTTCTCACTAGTGGAGGTAATAATATTCATATAAATAAGAATTCATTAAACACATATACATATATATACTGTACTATTAAGTTTTGTTTTTTTATTATTGTTATTATTATGTATGTAATATATCGCGACATTGCTGCAATAGTGTCATCTTGAAAATTGACAATTTTGAAATATTCATCACCAGATAAAAGTACACGCTAAAATCCATCTTTTCAAATGAATAATTAAAATTAGTCAAAATTGTCATTTTTCGAGAAATGACATTAAGTA